CATCCTCCCTCAGTCCTAAGACACAGATTGCAGAGGTGTCTAACTGCAGGGGACACATTGCCACTCCAGTGTGCCATATGGACACAGAGATGATCATTGTGGCTTGAAAAAACAAACCATGTTAGCCATTGACAGCTGTGAAGATGCTTTGCTTTCTTTACCCACTGAGGAGGTGACTGGAGAAGTGAGCTGTGCCAGAAGACATGGATGAGATTCTTGCCACGTGTATCAGGAAGACCAGTTTAAAAATACCCATGGCTGAAATGATGATCATCTTAAAAGCCTGGGATTTTTTTTTTTTTGGTATGAAAATCAACTGTAGACCATAAATTTCCAGCAGAAAAAGGAATCTTTGGTTCATGACTTGCTTTGGCTTATGTAAAGCGTGTGCAAGTTTCAATGACACAGTCCCTTTGGATGTTTAGACCCAAGTGTGTTGGCATTTGAGATTGATTTCATATAGTAAAGGTCAGCTGAAGACACTGATTGCTTTGATATGGAAGATCAAAAGTTCACTGAAGGAAATTCTTCAGAGAGCCCGGGTTCAAACAGCCAGTCTGCTAGTTGCCTAGGTGACACTTCGTGTTGCAGTTCTGGTTGCTTCTGCTTCTTAGAAACGGTTGGTCACAGTCATGCATATTGTAGAAATCAAAGACAAATACTCTACTTCTGTACCTTTCCTTTGCAAAACCCATAAAATTCTCCCTCCCTGAAACTTAGAGCTCTGACACTTTGAGGGACAATTGATTTTCTGTCAGTACTTGTCCGACATTAAATAAATCTGGGTGTCATTTTGATGTTTCTGCCTTCTGCTGCAGGATGTATGTATGTAGTTTTGTAAGCCCATTGCGCCTTGCATGTCATTCTAGTTAATGGTTAGCTGGAGCGCTTCAGTCTATTTGTTCTTTCTAGAAATTAATCCTCAGTATCAAACATTCAGAAATATTGGGATTGTTTCCTCTTCCCTATGTGCCTCTCCCTTCCTGCTAAATACAGCAGTTGTGATCATCTGAGATGTGACAGCAGGTATATCTTGGACTGATGCCAAGTGCTAGACTGCTTGGAAGTGAAGCACGTGGCACAGTGGTTGAAACTGACGGCATTGTGTCTAATGTCCTTTTCTCCACTCCTTCCTCTCCTTGATCTTAGGAGGCCTAGTTCCAGTTGCTGGTTTCAAAGAATTTTCTGTTAACTCTTGGATCATGGAAAGAAGTACCAAGAAATTATATTCAACTCAGAACTTGTAATAAAACTGACCTGTTCAGAGTGTAGAATTGAGTCCATTAAGTTGTTACTGCAGGAAGTTGCATAGCTGATTATTCACTTATATACAATAATTGTTTCATTGTAAATGATGCTTTAATAATCTGCTTTATTATACATGTAACATTCAAATTGACCATTATTATATTAACTTAAATAAAGTTATCTTTCAATAAAGATATTGAAAAGCTGAATGAAAAACTGTTTGTCACAATGTTTAGATATATAGAATGATTCCAATCTGAGTAAGACACCATATCACAGTCCAGGCAACACCACAATGGACAAGTTTCCATTACATAAAGGGACATTTCATGCCATCTTTCCAAACCAACAAGGACATAAAATGATGAAATGGGAGGCTCAAATAACAACCATACAAAGATCATCCAAAAAACCTAACTTGGGTGTGTGATACATACCTGTAAGCCAAGCACTCTAGGAGGCAGAAGCAGGAAGATTGCAAGTTCAAGTTCAGCCTAGGAAAAAAGTGCTGGGGATGCAGCTCAGGACAAAGGTCCTGGGTTCAACCCCCAGTGCCACAAAAGCCAAACCAAACCAAAGCAAACCAAACTCCAAATCCCCAACTCAGTGATGGCGCCCCTTGCCTACCAAAAGCCATCTGAACTTTGATTCCAGCAGAAAGGAAATACAAGATTTCTCCCATCACATAAGACTGACTTGGAGGGAGCTGGAGGAGCAGATGGTCACTGGATAGAACTGTGTCTAAAGAGTCCTAACCTCAGTACACCCAATATTTTTTTTCTGCCTCTCTCAGCAGAACAGGTTCCGCAGGGGTTCGTGGTCTGGGCTGCAGCTGTGCCACCAGTAGGTCCAATTCAAACCTAGAGGCAATGCTATCTTCAGGTGCCCCCTCCTGTGGGACCCCAAGAGGATGGGAAAGAAGCCAGTAGAACATCAGGGCACTAGAGTTCTTGTCACTCTCCAGACTCTCAACTCGATAAGAGTGAATATTATGGGCTACGTTATGTTCATTTAAGAAAAAGCTTTCCGTCTCAGGTTGGGTGACTGGTTGGTTGAAGTAGAAAGTTTTGGGTCAAGCAATGGGCAGAGGATCCCCAAGAAAATAGCAGACAAGAGCATCTCCAGCCTCTGGAGGTTCATGGCAGGGCTTTTTTTTTTTTTTTTTTTTTTTTTGTAGAGGGGCAGTGACTTATCTTCTCATTGCTACAGAAGCCTTTGCTGTGCCAGGTACGGTGACACCCTGATAAGAATGAGCACAGCTGTGGTGAGAGGAGGCAAACTCAAACAACGCTGGCTTTGTCCCTCAGCCCACATTCCCATTGTGATGGCTTGGTCCACACCCAGTGGCTTGGAATTTCCTCAAGATGTACAAGACATACTAATTTCACTAGCTAAGGTGGAAATGGACAACACAATAGCCCTTAGTTTCCTGTTGGCAGAACAAGGTGGCATTTGGGTTATGCTCACATCTGGTACTGTGCATATATCAACAATCAAGAAAAGCAGAAATGGAGTTGGTGACCCATGCTGAGATGGGATGGTTATCAGCTGTATACCTAGAAGTACCTCATACTCATATTTTCTTTTCTATTTTTTTTTTTTTTTTTACCTCTTCAGTTGTCCCAGTCCAGGAACTACAGAGCTTGTAGTTGAAGGCCATCCTCCAGGGAGACCTGATCATCTTCCTAGGTCTGGTTTCTCTAGTGACCTTGGTAAAGTCTCAAAGCGAATAAGGAGATCTTGCCAGCAAATTGCATCCTGAAGGTTGTTCAAGCCCATTAGACTGGGCTCTCCTTCGACATTTGTCTTCCTGAATTTGTTATGCTGTGTGTCTATTTCAGCTAAGGAGACACTGTTGGGAAAAATAGTTATGTGCAGTTTCCTGCTCCCGCATGGTCACACAATAAGCTTTTGGTCTGGAAACACTCTTTACCCTGTGCTGGGCTTATCTCCTTATGAGAGTAGCTTTCCTTGTTTAAGATTCCCAGTACTCTTCATTCTGCTTAAACTTCTGTGTCAGCAGCCCTCAGCATGGCCCCTGGCTTTCTTTCCAATTCCACTGAGGGTCCCAGGATCCCTCCCCTACAGCATGAGTGGGGCGCTTGCAATCACGTTACTCACAATGGACAGAATGCATCTGCTGACCATGGGGAATCAAGGTTTTGCAAGGGGCAGGATCTAGTATGCTTTTCTGGATTTAAGTAAACATTGTGTTGTCTATTCTGGGTGACTCTAGATCATGTACTGATGTCTTCTCTGGGGAGGGTTTATCTGCCTGTTGACTTTGGCCACCTAGATGTGAAAATAATCTCTATGCTTTGTACATTTTTAAAATTAATTTTATTTGTAGTAGGGGTCAAACTCATGACCTAGCACTTGCCAGGCAGGCACTTACGCCTGTGAGCTAAATCCTCGGTTGCACTTCATTTATTTTCGTACAGCCAGTATCTCTAAATTCTGAGTTCTTTAGGATTTTGTAGCAGATTGCTTATTTCTCCTTTGTATTCACTTTGGTAGATCGTTGTAATTTTCATTAGTGTCAGTTTTACCATTCTTGACAACTGCCATTTTCTCATCTACTATTTTCTTGTATTTTGATGTAGTTACACGTATTTGGTCTTTTTCTTTTTCAAGCACCTATGATATCTGACATACAACAGGCACGCATGTGACTTTATGAATTGAAAAATATTTAGAATTATTGCAACTTGATCAATGATTTGGTCTGAGAATTTCCTTAATGCTCATGGCTAAGGGATTAAAACTGCAACAGATATGGCTCTCAAGAGGCAACCAGAATTTAAGTGAGATGGTTTACTTTTACCCTGTTGGAGCATGGATGATTTACTATCCTGAATGGCACACATTTTTGTCCTTTTAAAAGTTTTTATTCTTCTGCACATATGGGTCCATTATCCAAGTTCTTTTTTTCTAGGAAAAAATTCCCATCTTTTCATCAGCTGGCTGCTCTTCTTTGTGGTCTGCTTATTTGTGTGACTTTTTCACATACACCATTTTGCAAAGGTGAACAAAATTCAAATCATCTGAGAGAAATGGCCATTTGTCATAAATTAGCAGAAGCCCATCCATGTTCAAAACAAAGTTAAGAGTGCAGTGTTGCATGCTTGTAAATGCAGCTGCTCAGGAGGTGAATCAAGAGGATAAATATGAGTTTGAAGTTGGCCCTGGGCAACAAAGTGACCACCAACTCAAAAAACATGAAAGCAAAACAAAGTAATTTATCAGGAACTCTTTCTTAACCCAACCCCATTTACAATATTCTCTAACCCTACATATGTTTGCAGCACTTGCTACAATCTGTCCTGCACTATTTGTCAGATTCTTTTTCTGCTGCCACTTGCTTTATTGCTGCTGTGGGATGAAATCCCCAGTCTCAAGCATGAGGTCTGGAGCACACTAGGCATGCTCAAATTATTTTTTGGTGACTCTTTAAGACTTTAAGCTACATAAATTCATGAACCATGTGCATCTCCTTTGCTATCTACCTCATGCTCAGCACAAAGTTTAGAATATAAAGGCAGTGCTCAACAACTACATAGGATGTGAACCACGACCTTTCAAAGCCCAAGCTGCTAAAGTTTATGTTCTGATGACACCTATATGCACGGTAAACAGAAGTTATACACAGCTCATATTGAAGGAAAAATGCCCTTCAATAAGAAATCAAGCAATAAATGTATTTTATTAGAGCTTTTTTGACTTGAGTGTAAAAATGAACATGTGACACAAAATTAATTTATAAATCAGTTTTTATTTACAGATTTATCTTAAAGTACATTTTAGTTAATAAATCTATTTACACAGGTATACATGGGAATTCATCCCAGTTATTTTACAGATCATACTTACAAACCACACCCTAAGTCTTCTGTGCAGAGTTGCACTGGATGTGACTATTGGCTGAAAATGGCCTGGTGACCAGGCTATTTACACATACACAGTAAACGGGTTTATTTTTCATGTCTGCACAGTACAGTACACACAAGAAGGCTAAGCCTCCCAGAGAATGCTTTGCAATGTGTTTACCAAGAAGGCTTTGCAAAGTCCAGAAGGAAAAGCTATTAAACAAGATTAATTAAAACGACAGTACCTCCTTTACATCAGTTTACAATTTTCTTCACATTTCTATAATACAAAGATATTTTATTGAATTGCTGCACAACCAGTTTAAGATGATTTGTAAACATGTAAATTCCTACAATTTGCATTAAACATCATTGTAGTTTCTATCACTTGCTCTTTGAGTTAATGTTTATTCACTAGTATTCTTAAGGTAGTAAAAGGAAGATGTAAGTCTGAATTTCTTGCAGAAAAGTTACAAGTCTCTAATGCTGTGCTACAGAAATTCTTTTGTGAGTACACACTTTATTCAAGTATTGCAAAAAGCTAAGGCCACTTTTTTTCAAGACAAGAAAGTGAACAAAATTGTTTTTATCAATAGGCCACAACACTCTTATGAGCAACAAAATCTCTTTTGAAAGATAATTTCTCAGAGACCTGACCTGTAGTCACAGAAGGAATTTTCTTTTCAGGTAAAAGAAAATTACCTTCCTTATTAACTACTTTTGAGCTCTTCCCACTTTTCCCTAGAGTAAAAATTCCTGTTTAGACCTGAAGAGGGAATCTATACCCTGTACTTATTTAACCCAGAGTTAACTGCCCTGGATAGCACAAATTGTTTTGGACTCAGAATTAAATCTGAAGCCTATATGTTGGTTTACTACTAAATTCTGACGGTGTTGTTCTAAAAGATATTACTGCTGATGCAAAGATCTTTTTCTTAAAGAATTATGAAGACAGACTGAAAGAGGGTGGGGTATAGGAGGGAGTAAAGATTAGAAAGAGGGGTTCTTGGTTAACAGGAAGTTTGATTAAAAAGATGCCAGTATGGAAAAGTGGTTGGGTATCCATATTTATAATACTAATAATAAATATATTTTAATTAGGTCCTCATAGTTAAAATAAGAAATCTGTTCTATAGATGTCTTTATTTATTTATTTATTTATTTTTGGTGGTGTTTGGTTTTTGCTACAAACTGTGGATGACATTTCTGAAAGAATAAGACTGGTCTTTTACTGCCTCTCATCTGGAATCCAGAATCTTGGGAGAGCAAAGACAGCTGGAGCTGATTAGAATGGCTACTGCTACATTATTGGCAGCATTCCTTACCAGTCCAGATTGCTGATTCTATGGATTTCTGTATTTTTTTTCCTTCTCTAGAATCATGATGTTAAAAAGAGTAAAGATAAATTTCTTACTAAAAATTGGTTTTAGGTTCAAATAATGGAGATGTAGAAAAACAACCTATATTTCTATTATAGTATTTTGACATTCATTTATTAAAAAATTTACAGCAGCTGCAAAGTTTCAGTATTATAAGGACAATGTGATCCTATGAACTGCAAAAAGAATGCAGACAAGATGTTTTTCTGTCTTCTAAATAACATAAACCAAAAGACAAGTCTTTCTTTTCCTTGGCCACATGAAAATAATATTTCCACATTACTGGTTAATAACCCCGAGAAACCTTTGCTTCCTTTAGTCAATTTGCTCATTATGGCTACAAGACTGTAGCCCAACATCAAAGGCCCAGAAGAAATGCTGGAAACACATCAAAATAGCATTTCCCAAGACTCAGTCACAACATTTCAGTGCTTTCCACATTTGTCAAGAGCTATCACACCAGTCATTGTGCAAAATGCAAATATTCCAATGAGTTTCTTACGACAGAATGAACAGAAGAAGAATGGAAGTGTGCATAGTGAAACATTTAAGATGCAAAGGCAAGTTTGGAGGAAAGATGCAGAAATAAACGTGCACACTTAGATTACCATCTTTGGGGTTTTCTAACATATTTTGAAACTATAACATTCCAGGATACTTGTAACTACGAATCCAGTAGATGTCTATATCATGCTTCTAATCTGAACCTTCAAAATTAAGGCATTTACATTCACGCCTAAGATTATCCATATTCTTCTGGATTATGCGAAGAGGGATAAGACTGATTAAGAGAAACCAGTCAGGAAGGCAGGTTCTGAGGTCCCAGAAGAGCATCTCATGTGCTCTCATGTAGCAGCTGTAGTCTATACACTTTATTTCAGATACAGGTAATAGTTGTAAGAAGCAATGCTGTAAGAGAGGCAAGATTAAATTTTACAGTGTCTTTAAATCATTTTCTCCCATTCCTACTATTGCAAGTGCTCTTGAAAAGCTCATCTTCTTTTCATCAAATTTAACTGACTTCTTCAATACGTGTATGGATTTGTTAAAACCATAGGTTTCCTGTGCAAAGACCATGAACCATAGAAGCTTCAAGACCAAGGTTTAACTATGATAAGAATCTTTCACTTCTGAATAGGGACACACATTTCCAACTTAATAATTTATCTTAAAATAAATTAAAAAATGTTCCATAGAGTAAAACAAGCACACGAACTATAGACAATATTTTTTTGTCTTTGGTGCACACACTCGTTTCCTAAATCATTCAAGTAACAGCGTCTCTGACTTCTTGGGAGATGGGAGTTCAAAGTTTGAAGGCCAAAATGAATTATTTCCACGTTTGCCATGCCTGGATGCCTGAGATGGTCCTGAGTTTCTGTGATTCTGGGAGCAGCTTGTACAGGTTTAGGACGAGGAAGAAAAGTGCAGGGATAAAACAAAGGGTAAAGCAATCAGCCCTGCAGCAGTCCTTTAAGCCCAGTCGTCAGTGGGGGCATTGGTTTTCATGCTCAGACAGGAAAACTAAACACAATGCAAAGGTTTACAGTTCTTTAGGTGGTGCTCAGAAAGCAAGGCTATCATTTATTTCTGTTAATTTGACAGTCTGCTTGGTGCTGCTGAACTGCAATAATGGAAGAAAATGGTCTTCAAAAAGAAAAGAAATCAACTCCAGAATGTGAAATAGGCATTAAACTTGCATATTTTTGAAGAGATTAAGGGTCTAATACTGTTTAAGGATTATAAGGTTCATTTATGACTTTCATGGTATAGATCAGGATATTTCAAAAATTACATAATAAATTTATCTATATACCTCTCTTACCTGACTTCAGACTCAAGGATGTGATACCCTAGTCTAAACATGGAGGTTAAGTTTGCTGTTCTGAGCTCTCATCTGAGACCTAGAAGGGGTGCTACAAGAGATGCAGAATTATATTGTGTCTCAACATCAAGAGAATAATCCTGTCCACTGAAAATAATCAAGTAATCCAGTGGACAGTCTAAAGGCAAGGCTGTAATATCAGATATACTGCATTGTCCCATGAACTCCAAAATCAGCAGTCCATAAGAACAGGTACAAGGTCCGGAAGCACTCTTGCTATGATGGAGATGGGGTGTACATCAGGAGGCAGAAAGGCCCAGGACTCATATTAACACTCAGTGTTCAATTTATTTGCAAGATGTCACACAAGTAGCATTCTCCCCTGTTTTTCACTGATCTGATTCAGAACATCAATAGTATCTTTGATCAAGGTTTCAAAGATCCCATCAGCCAGCTGCATCTTCACACACAACTCGTCCTCATCATAGTTTACCCATTGTGCTTCCTCTTCGTGGAGCTCCTGTACCTAGTATTTAGAAGACAAGATTAGAAAATCATCGTCACACAGAATTTAGATATGAATTATATTTAATGATTCTATAGTCCCACCAATGAGAATACAGTCCAAGAAAATGATCCAGAAGAAAAAAGTTTAAAACAATATTTCAATTTGATAATATTCCAGTATTTTATAGATATTAAGAATTGTAAGTATGCTGTCCCTGTTAACTGAAGGGAACATGCACAGGAATTTAAGGGAAAGAAAAGTACACAAAATATAGATATATAGATTTACAATTACAAAAAGCATATGTACAAACACAATATTGGACATGATTACGGAGTATTACAAACAAATGAATAGCAATTAATACTCATTAAGATATTTGGAAAAATATAATACTATCTAAATTTCTTTTAAAAGTTACTGGTTTACAATCCTTTTTCTTTTTGCATTTTAGGATTCTGAGATTCTGAGATAAATGAATACTAATCAAATGAGAAGTGCTCAAGACATTTAAAAATGACTATTATAAAAAGGAACATGTTAAACTTCTTATACATAATGACATTGTGAGTAGGCTGGAGGCCAAGTAGACTACTTTGGCGTGTACACACACACACACACACACACACACACACACACACACATACACACATACACGCAGGCAGCAAGTAAAAATAAGCTCCTGGCTTGTCCTGTTGTATTGTCTTGGGAGAAAAAGATCATGCCATCTGAAATTTGGGAGGTGGAGATAGCATTGTTCAACATGTTCTCTTGCCTAGAGCTGACCCAGATACTTCAAGATGACTGCCACATTTTTTTCTCTTTGAGAATGGCTGTTTGAAGGATATATAAATATCCAGTCCTCTGTTCTCTAATTTATGCTCCATGGAACACTGGGAAATTTAGAGTATACATCATCTATTAAAGTGGAGTCAGCCAGACATGGGGGTGCACAACTGTAATCCCAGCACTTGGGGAGGCTGAGGCAGGAGTCACTGCAAATTTGAGACCAGCCTGGGCTACAAAATAAACACAAGGCCAGCCTGAACTGCATAGCGAGATCCTGTTTCAAGACAAAAAAAGGAGGGGAGGGGAGAAGAGGGGAGGAAGAGAGAGAGAGAGAGAGAGAGAGAGAGAGAGAGAGAGAGAGAGAGAGAGAGAGAGACAGACAGATAGAGGTCCACCAGTAAATAAACTTCTTGCTTTTGTTTTGGTGGTGGTATTGGAAACTGAATCTAAGAAGCAACAGCTGAAAAATTTCCAGAATTGAGTAAAGATATGATTTGCTAATTCGGTAAGTTCATGAGTGTAGAACACACACACATGCACGTATGCACGCAAATCTTAAATAAAAACTAAACAGAAGACCAATTCCTTATAAAGGAATGTTAGATTTCTCAAGAGCAAGAAGACAGGTCAGATTACAATGAGATATGTTCCAAACAAATGGAATATGTTCAGATTACAATGGAATATGTTCAGATAAAAGAAATATTCAACTCAGAATTCAATATTCAACTAATCTGAACTATCTTTCAAAAAAAGGAAGAGTTAAAATAAAAACATTTTTACATTGTCATGGTTTATGTCTAGATGTCCCCCAAAGCCTCATGCAGTCATAGGTAGGGCTTTTCTCAAGGTGGCTGGATCTAGTGTGATGCTGGGATCAAGCATGTGTGATTACTAAACTAGCCCATTGATTGGTCCAGCACAGTTTGTGTGTGTGGAGTATGGGAGTGAGTGGAGTGAGTGCTCCCTGCCCTAACGGCGTGTTCCCTGGATAGGCTGTCAAGGACAGAAAGACGGTTACTGCTATTACTCCCTTGCTGCTTTTGCTGCCTCCTGTCTTTTGTCTTCCATACCATGAACTGTTTTTTCTCCTCTATGACGCCCCTCTGCTATGCCATCCTGCTTTGGAATCAGCTGACTATGAACTGAAATGTCTAAGTTTTATTTTGGGTCAAAATAAACTTTTCCTTCTTTCACTTTAGCTATTGGATATTTTGTCTCAGCAACATGAAAAGATGGCAACCGAACTCAGGATGAAAGAGAAGAATATAAAAACAATGGTTTCTGCATTATTTTCTGTTCTTTTTTATACTTTTTTTTTTCTTTTGTCTTTTTCCTTTTTATCGGTACCGGGGATTGAACTCACGACTGCCTGCTTGCAAGGCAGGCGCTTATGCCGCTGAGCTAAATCTCCAGCCCCTTATGAATCCGTTTTTAAAAATTCTCTGTTGCTGGGGAGTTAGCTCAGCAGCAAAGTGCCTGCTTGGCAAGCCATGAGGTCCTGAGTTTGGTTCCTGGTACAAAAAATCCTCTTCTTGTACTCTATAGTAAAACTTTTTGCTTTGCATTATAAAAAAATGATTGTCCTAAATCTCACTCCTAAATGCAAGGGGTCAGAATTTATAAATGTTAGGTTAACAAAATCAAATAGTAAGAAAGACTAATTTACTTAGCATTTTTTGTATAATTAGCCCAAGAAGTTAACATCATGATTTCATTAAAAATTTTAAAAAAGTAAACTCTACAAAACATTACAATAAACAGGTCAGGTCTCCTGTAAGAAGTTGAAAAATATTTTACCATCAGCCAACTGGTAAATCTTTTCTTACCCATAGATATCACTCATTTAAACAGTAGTAATCTTATAACTTGCTAGTGAAATACTTTGCTTAATATCTGAGAATCTTCTGATGACTGCTGGTGGGATCTCTGCTTACTTAACTGACTTTATTTGGTGATTATCTGGACACCTCTGCTGTCAGGATAAAAGATGGCATGACCCACAAGGTTGGCAGCCGTTGATAACAGGAAAGGCAGGCTCCTGCTGCTGCTTAATCTTCACTGTCTCTCGCTGTTTTTCCTCTGTGATGGTCCTCTGCCTTGTTGCCCTGCCTTAGATCCAGTTGACTACTGATTGAAACCTCTACAAACTATAAGCAGAAATAAACCTTTCCTCCTTTAACTTTGGGTGTCATGTACTTTGTCTCAGCAAAGAGAAAAGTAACTAAGAGAGACTGTGGTACCAGAAGTGGGGTTGTTACTATGATGTGACCTGTCCATGTAGTTCAGAGGCCTTTGTAACTGGCTGTGGAAAGTTTGGAAAGGTATGGAGATGTCAGCTGAGGAAACTGTCCTGGGATGTTGCAAACTGAACTTGATGGGAGATTCTGGTCAGAGCTCAGAAGACCAGAATGTTGATAGAAATACTTTGGTAAAGACCACACTCAGGAGGTTTCTGTTGGAAGGACTCAAGCCATGTGTGTTATGCTTTCGCAGAAAGTTTCTCTGCATTTTGCTTTTATTCATGAGATAGATTAAGTCAGAATTAACCTAAAGAGAAATTTCAAGGAAGTTAAATGTTCAGGCAGTGACATGACTACTGTTGGGATATTTTAGTCATATGTATATTGAGAATCAAAAGCAAAAAGCCCAGCAAAATGATTTAAAATGTTTTGAGTTTGGCCAGAAAGAAAGCTCCAGTAAAGTTGCAGACTGCAAAGATGGCACACAGGAAAGTTTGGTTGCTGAGAAGGAACTGAACAATAGAAAAGATGCCCTGAGGATATCACAGAAACCAACAGGACTCCTTTTGAAGCTCCAAAATTACAAAAGTGAAAGACTTTGCAATGAAAAGAGAACCCAGGAACACTAGGTTCCAGAACAGTATTTTATCCTAGTGACAAAAAAAGTAAGAGTAAGACTCTATCTATCTTGTCTGTCTGTCTGTCTGTTTTGAGACAGGGTCTTGCTAAACTTCGCTGGTGAAACCTGAACTTGAAGTCCACTTGCCCTGGTCTCTCTCATGACTGGGATCTTTCATGATTTTTTAAAACTACAAATCTAATTTCTCCTGTTTAAACTCCTTATTTTTTAAAATAAAATTCAAAATCTTTTACGTTGTTTAAAATGCACTGTGTATTCAGAAGTTACTTTTTTCAGTTTATCTTATGCCACCTCCTCCATCACTGACATTTAAGGACACACCCATGCATCCTTTCATTTCAGGTTCTTTGCATATGTAGTTTTTACTCTCCCTGAATGAATCATTCTGTCAGAGAACTTAGTTAATGATTATACATCTTTAAGATATAAAATAAAATGTTACTTTGATCTCTGGGAAGCATGTCCTAGATCAGTTTCCTATGTTTATACTTTGTAACAGTTCCCTCTATTCTATTTTGTTGCTGGTTTATACTTTGTAATAGTTTCCTCTATTCTATTTTGTTGCTTAATTTATAATTACATGCATGTGTAAATTACATATTATGGGTCAGTTTTTGCCAGCAAAGTAGAAATCCAAGAAGGCACGGACTACGTCTGCTTTGCTTCCCATTTAAACATCAGTCTTTAATTAGCATAATTTCTGACTTAAATGTATAAAGATATGATTTATAAGAGATATGATAAAAATGGGATATGATCAATTTTTTTTTCTCTTTTTATTGGTCCCGGGGATCAAACTCATGACCGCCTGCTTGCAAGGCAGGTGCTTATGCCGCTGAGCTAAATTCCCAGTCCCGGGATATGATCAATTTAATTAATGTTAGAGAATGCTTCTTACACGTTTTTTTCTTTAATCTTTAAGAAATAAAGGATGTCACACTTGAAAATTTATAAACTTTAAACACTGTACAAACAGGAAACATTCACCTTCTTGAGAAGGTTCAAAGAATTAATGGATTAAAATCACGGTTCTTATTTGCTGGGCAAGTCACTTAACAGTATTGCACCTATATTTCTCATTTGTAAAATAGAGAATAACACTAGTTCTTTCTACTGCATATAATTATTGTGAAGATCAAGTAAGACATGAAAAGAATGATCACACTGTAAAATGCCAAACAAATGCTATTAGTATAGTTATTATTGAGTAAATCAAGTACTAGAGAATTACACACATGTAGAAAGCTGATAAACATAAGTATTACATGGAGCTAAACCTGAAAAGTAATATCTGAGTTTTGTTTTAATATTATTTTTTTAGGGAAGAAAGGATGACAATTTTTTACTGGCTTTTAATAAACATTTCTAATGTTAGAGAAATATACTGAAAAACCAAGTAGGTCTTACTAGTTAAAGTTCTGGATGATGATGATAATGATAATGATGTGGTAACAGCTAATATTTATTCAGTTATATATGGGCAACTGTTATGAACTGTTCTAAGTGTTTTACACACACAGTCACACCTTGCATAATGATTAGTCAACAGCAACAACATACACCATTATGGTCACACAAGATTATAATGGAGCTGAAAAATTCCTACCAATTAGTGACATTAAGGCCCTCCACAAAGTCACAGCACAACCCTTATTACTCATGTGATAATGGTTTGTTATATATAAACAAACCTACTGTATTGCCAGTTGTACAAAAGTACAGCACAATTATGTAAAATAAATAATACTGAACAATGACAATAAGGTTTATCTATTAACGATTTTTTATTTTTATTTTTTGTACTGGGAATTGAACCCAGTGTCTGCCAATTAGGCACTGTGCTGCTCAGCTATATCCACAGCCCTCTATTAAGTACTTTGAAGGCATTATTTAGAATGTATTTCCTTTGACTTATTAAAGAAAAGGTTGGCTATAAAATAGTATGCCAAAAAAAATTGTGCCATATTATGCCTGTAGTAGCCTCATACACCTTTGTTTCTTATCTCTTGCTTACACAGAGAGGCCCTACCAAGTGACCAATTATACCATCTAGGTTTGTAGTATAGTCTATGATGTTTTGCACGATGTAGGCATCTCTCTCATTAAGCAATGCATGACCATATATAAATATATAAATATTCATTTAATCTTCTTAATAATTTTATCTGATAGGTACTTATCATTATCATCTTGATTTTACACATAGAGAAACAAGGCAAAAAAAAAGGGTAAATGAACTTGTCCAATACTATGCACCAAATAAGCAAAACAAATTGTAAGTTCAAGCTGTCTAGCTCCAAAATCCACATTGGTCTCTTCAATTCACTACATTAAACTGTTTCCACTCAAGTTTTGATTTCTCAAGCTTTCTATAAAATTCTAAGTTAAACACTCTCACCTGCCAAATACAAACAAAGCAGTTTCTACTGGGAAGCAGAAATGTGGCAAGTGAAATTTAAAATTTTAATGTCATAGCCTTAAGATCAACTATCTTTTTCCCTTTTGGAATCTATCTACACCTGATTTTTGAAGATACAACCAAAATAAAAATTGTTTGGATGGATACACTGACCAGGATATGATCCACTCGGTCTCTTTTCTTTCTTCCAAATTTCATCATTTTCTGCCAATCTGTTTTGTGGTTTGTCTCTTTTTTGAGACTGAACAACTTAAGTACTTCAGTTGCTATGAAATTCTGTAGAAATAAGAGGAATAAATAGAACATAACAATGAAGTTTTGAAATTCATGTATTTATAATACAGCTAACAGATTTATACTTATACAATAATTATGACAAAAGATAACGTATATTTCTTAAACTTATAGTTCCACTTAATAATTTGAAGGGAAAAGCATCCAAAATGTTCAGATTTCATTCACTTAAAATAATTTTTGTAGTTAGGTGTGGGGGTACACTATTGTAGTCCCAGTGACTTGAGAGACTAAGGCAGGACACTTCTTAAGCAGAAGTTTGAGTCTAGCTGGAGCAACGCAGTGAACCCCTGTCTAAAAAACAAAACAAAAAACCCTCAAAACAAACAAACAAACAAGAAAAGGAGGCAGCTTGAACTACCTGGCAAGATCCAGTCTCAAATTTAAAAAAAAAAAGAGACAGCTAAATACAAACAGTCTCTCTGAGACCTGACATGGAAGTACCTGGAAAACAACAACCTGATGAAGAAAAAAAAGTAGATTTCCAGGAATTGGGAGAGGGTGACAGGACAACTAGAAACTATAGAGCAGCTGGAGATACAGAGTACAACGGAGAAAAGAACAAAGCAGGCTGGAACATGAAACCCAGCTACTTGGGGTGGGGAAGCCTGTCTCTGCTAACACGAGGTTAAGTCAGGAAAGGGTCAGCAGTTCACAGAGCAACAGACCAAGATGGCAGCATGAGTCCCAAGGCAAGCTCATGGTTATCACAAACTACAAAAACAGGGATGATGGTGGGGCCTGGGGATTTAGCTCAATGGTAGAATGCTTACCTGGCAAGTGGCAGGCCCTGGTTTAATTCTCAGCACCCAAAAATTAAAAAGCAACAAACAAAAAACCAACCAACCAAACAAATAAAACAGTGTGGGATTTTGCTCTGAAAGTGATTCCTTCCACATGGTAGGATAGAGTTGGAGAAGAAATCCAGTGTAGTCCCCACCATATTTGAGTGTTTAATCAGCAGTCATTTTGTTCTAAAATGAGCTACAGAACAACTACACTTTTATGGTTTCTGGGGCCAGGTTGGCAGGACATAAATCCGAGGGCCAACCTTTTGGAGCAGGCTGCCTGAAAGGGCTGGCATTAAGTCTCTTCTTCTCTACTCTCAGCAGCCTATAACCAACACAGGTCAGTGGTCTGTTCGCTCTCCCCATCTACCAATGTGATCAGTGATATGCCTCAGCTTGGAGGGTTGCCACAGCCTGGGGTGTGTATGGTAAAGGCACCTCTGGACCAGACGGAGCACCTCACAAACTCACAGGTTTTACAGATAGGTGGAAAAAGCCATGATTGGAGTACACAAAGAGATACAGAAATTAGAAGCAACTGGAGGAAATACAGGCTTTAGGATGAACATCACTGACAGTCAGCCATGTCCAGCAAGAAAGGCAGGGCAGGATTCAGCATTCACACACCAACATGTGACTGTGAACGCAAAATGGGTCTAAGTAGTGACTTACTATCCCTTGCTCATATCAGGTAGATTCCAATACTGCAGACCTAGAAACAAACCACACATTTGAAAACATGGAGAAATTTGTTTTGAGTCATTTCTTTATAGGTTTTTTTTTTTTTTTTTGCGGGGAGTTGAGTTTTTCCTTTTTGTAATTCATTTTTTCATTTCCCTTCACTTTACTATTTTATCTTTTTTTCCTATTTTTTTCTGTTACATTTATCTAATTCTATTAATTTTTTTTTACTCAATAAAAACCTTTATCTCATTTCTCTGGTCATCTTCCTTTCCTTTTTATATCTTTTGTCTTCCCATTTTTCAGCACCTCCTCTTTACTAGCATTACCATGAAGCTTTAGTTATCTTTAGATATTTAGTTGACTCTATGCTCTTATTGTTGGAATTCTTTAACACTGTTAATGATTAGCATATTTAGTAAATTTACTGTATATCAATATTTAGTCTGCATTTGCGTCTATATTAAAATTATAGATCACTTTCTATTTTGAAGGGGTGCACAGTAGGTACTTTTATTAATTATGGTATGTCAACTTCCAGTTTGAAAAAAGGGTAAAGTACAAGCAATGACAATGCATTGTCTGAGATTTGGAATATAAATCTGGCAAACAACTTGGAAAAGGAAGTGGGGAGGGAGAAGGAGAAAGGGTGAGAGGAAGGGAGGAAGAAAGGGAGGGAGAAGAAAGGAAGGGAGGGAGGGAAAGAAAAAGAGAACAGAGCCTCAGGAATCAGGAAGGATCTGACAGGAAAATTAAAACCTACAGAGAAACTGAAGAGACAGAACACAAAAATGAAAAGGGAAGGAACAGTCTATACTTTCTCCCCAGTTCCTGGCTGATGGCAAGTAGGACAGAGAGATTGAAATCTATAGAGACAAAGTGAAAGCTGGAGACTCCAGGGGGCTTCTGGGAAGAGCACAGTGGTAGCACAAACCAGCAGGTAAGCGACCGACAGGGAGAGCATGGGATTCTATTTCCACGTGAATTCTTCAACAGGCAACAGCTTGTGAGTAACTCCAGTTTATAAGCCCAACCTATCCCTGGAGAGACTGCTTGGTGGGGAACCAGGCTGCATAACCTGGGACTCAAAGCAGCCGTGGGATGGCTTCACTTCCAGGTTTCCAGTGTTAAGTTTCCACAGTAACTAGGTGAGGCACAGCTACAGCAGATAGCCACAATCAAGGAGCAAGATGGAAAGAAATACCCTGAGGTGTCTGAGCTAAAAGACATAGACCCTACTCCCATAGGGAGAGGCCAGGCTCAGCCTGAGTTGTTATGGATTTGAAAGTTTGTGGCATTGGTGGATTTGTCCTAATACTATTGCCTGAATGTTTCCTTGTCTACCAGTGTGAGGAGGGGCACAGAGACGTCTTAACTTGGATACTCCCCCAAAACTGTAGATCCTGGTCATTAAACCACACATCCAAAAATCATAGAGAAATTTCTTTTTTCTTTTCTTTTCTGTGAATGTATTGGGGGGGGGGTGCTGGGGATCAAACTCATGACCTTGTGCTTACCAGGCAAGTGCTTAAACCACTGTTAAATCCCTAGCTGTGTGCATTATATTTTAGTTCTTTCCTTTCCTTTTTTCTATTGATCAGTTTATTGGTACTTTGGGAATTTTCCTTTGTTCTTTTTCCCTGCTTATCTTTTTTTTTCCTTCTTTATTTATCTTCCTTTTACTTCACTTTAATATTTTCTCTATTTTTAGTGTCCATTTCATTTTTTCTTTTCCTCCCTCTTTTTATTTTCTATTTCTCATTAGTTTATTCCTTTACCTTTCCTTGATTCTATAAATATCCTTCTCTTTCCCAACAGGACTTTTTGTACTGTTTCTCTCTGTTTTTATATCATAAAAGTTTCAAATTTTTCTTCTTACATTCCCCATTCCCTATATCTTTAATAGTGTAACCATAAAGATTTGTTAATCTTTAGATAGTTAACTCTATAAAGTTACTGTTAAATTCTTTTCTACCATTAGAGGACATACAGCTATTGTAGTAAGTACGTATTATCTATAACTCAATACCTGGATTGCTTTAATGTTTATACCATAATGTGGATTTCTTCTCTAGAGTTAAGGGTGATATATAATTGGTTCTTATGTTAATATCTTACTTGTGTTAGTACTACTACAATTGATTTTCTTGATATTATAAGGGTAGCAAAATTATTGCTATTAATGGGATTTCTCTGTAAGCCAACACTCAGATTACCTTTCTGACATTAACAATACGAGAGTACATTCCAGAAAACTTGGTGTTGGCCCAAAAGCTAGCCACACCAAAAGTGTACCACTGAAAAGTGACTAAAGAGACCTCTACATTAGCAACAAAGTCTTTACACTATAGGTATCCACAAAACAGCACAAAACAGCCAAAAGAAACATGAAAAGATAAGACAAAATGTTTCCCCTAAGTTACAACTCCCCTGAACCCAATTTAGAAGGCATCAAGGGAAGAATGGCATAAGCCACACACCAAAATTACTTCAAAGATAATAGTAGAGGTTAGACACATATCAATGATGTATTCAGCAGGATCACAGAAGATATAGCTAAACAAATAGTGGAAATAATAACCAAAATGACCCAGGAGCTTTTAGAAGAAGCTAATAAAATGTTAGCTAACTAAATAAAACTATATAAAATATGAACAACCAGTTTAACAAAGAATCAGAAAAGGTTTTAATCAGAAACTGGGAGGTTAAAAATTACATTGAAAGTATGGATGATAGAAACAACCAATGTGAGGACAGAACTTCACAACTAGAAGGCAATGATACCTTCAAAGACTGACCATCAGATACTTTGAAAGTAACAAAGAGAGGGCTGGGAATATAGTTTGGCGGCACAAGTACCTGGCCTGCCTGGCAAGTGTGAGGTCATGAGTTTGATTCTTGGTATCAAAAAAAGGAACAAGAGAACATAAAAAGAATTGATCCACTAGCTGCTAGATGATACCATGAAAATTAAAGTAGGATTAATTAGAATAAGTGAAAAATTAGAAGACAACACAAATGGTATTAAAAAAATCTGTTCAAAGAAATGATGACAGAAAACTTTTCAAATATACAGGAAAAAACAGACGCATGCCAGGCATACAGAACACTAAATAACCATGACCAAAAAAACCCCCTTACATTATAGGTAAGGTACCAGAAGTCCTCACTGGCAAAATCTTAAAAACTGTTAGAGAAAAGGAATGACTCATATATAAAGTTAAATCCATTAGAATCACAGCAGACTTCTTAGTACAGGGCAGGAAGGCTTAAAGTGAAGTGTTTCAAGCCCTAAAAGAAAATAACTTCCAACCCTAACTTATGTGTCCTGAAAAACATACCTTCAAAGTGAATGGAAAAATAAAATGTTTCCATGAATGGAATGAATGTTTCCAAGACAAGGAGCACCAAGAAATTCATGACCACCAAACCAACATTACAAAAAGAATATCCTTGAGGATATCCTAAAAAGAGACAACAAAGCCTACAATGTTGAAAAGTCAAAAAGAATGA